AAAGAACCTTCAAGACCACGTTTATCCAGCAGCCCTGGCCTTTATTGTTGACCAACCGGTTACAGTTTTCTTACTGAGAGCCATTAAACCCTCAAACATCGTTAAATACTTCACGAAAGGAAAAGGTTGTAAAACGAGCAACGATTCTAGGTTAAATCCTAAGTTGCTATGATTAGCATTTTAATCCAGTTCTTTGGAATAAGTTGTTTTGTTTTTTAATCAAACTACAGTGGTTATAGTGGTGGCTTTTAAAAAAATGAATGAGTGGCTAATTTTATACATTAATAATTCAAAAAATAGGAAGAATGGTGATTGTCATCAAAGTCCAAGTTTTCTAACCTTATCATTTCCTTAAGCCAGGAGTCGACAACCTGCTGTTCCACCGGGGGACCTTTTTTATTTTATTTTAGACCCTTAAGGCATATTGCGACCTCTGGCTTAAGCGAACTATTTAGCAACGTTATTTTAAAACCAACTACATTTCAGATTCCATGTGAAACCATATTACTAGTGTAGGATGTGATCTTATGATTTTTAGACATCATTCTGAAAGTCAGTTAAACGTTAAACTTGATCAGTTTGGTCCAGTGAGGTGTTCCAGAGGCCTGATAAGTTATGTGAATTGGGTCATCTAGTGAGGACTAATACTTAACCAGCATTGTTCTTTAGTCCTAACTGAAATAAATTCTAAATAATTCACAGAATATATCAAAATATAAAAGCGAACAACTAATAAAGTAACTAATTAAAATTATGTTAACATTAGGTCACCTAACAAAACTCCCCTTTGCCTTCTCAGTGTCTTAGGTTTTATGCTGAATAGTAATTGTCAGCTCTAATACAGATATATTTTTTCCCTTCCATTGCGTGAATATGATGTAATATATTAACGTGGAAAATTTCTTGCTTTTTTGTTCACGGATTTCCCTTTAATAATAGGTCATACTTTTTTTCTATCACATCTATGGTATACATTTCTATAGGTCTCTTTCTGGGTTGTTTTGATACCCAAGTTAATCAATACTCTTTTAATTTCTAAGTCTCCGATCTGAACACATCTTTGGTGTATGAATGTTTTGCGTAGGAAAGGAATGTTACATTTCTTTCTCAAAAACGATCCATTTTCGATGCATCAAACTACTTACGAAGGCCAATTTCAAACTGGTTATCACGTGATTTGCTGATTTTGCATATTCAAAATCGTTTGAGTATAACATACTCAACACTCTGTAGTGCACTCTATGCTTTTTTTTTAGAGAGATTTCTCAAATAACATAATATATGTGTATATATAAGAGATAATAAACGTTGTTTGTTTAACAGTTTAAATCACTAGTTTCCTTCACTGTTTTTACTAAGCCTTTTTTCTTATATATAGGCCCTCTGACGATACTTGGTGGTGTTGAAGGACTGGGTTTTATTAACACAAAATTTGCGAATGTCACAGATGACTATCCTGACATAGAAATTCATTTTCTTTCCGGGAGTGTAGTCTCTGACCTTGAAGTCGCATTTCGAGCGAACCAAGGTATCACCGACGAAGTACGTCATGCTAAATAGTTATGAAATGTAGACGAAGTTGTTATCAGTTATAATGATTGAGTTATTTTAAAACACTGGACTTTTTCGTTATCAATACATACTCGAAGCTTCAGAACTTTCTCAAAATAAATTATTGTAAATGTATTGTTAAATTTTGTAGCTACATGTGGTTACGTTATTTTAAAGGTTATAAATTGTTCAAAATATTTTCGAAACAAGTCTATGTTTCTTGTGCTATTGAGCTTGGAATTTATAATTTACGGTGATCAAAATTTGGAAGGTTTAATTTCTTTCCATGGTTAGAAAAACAAACACTATATTGAATGATGGTTTATCTAAAATTATGCTATTTAAATGGGTTGTTTTTTCGTTAGATATGGGAAGGAGTGTACAAGCGTTACCTGGGTGTAGAAATCTTTTATCCTTTGACATTTTTTTATACTTAGGAAATTTTAACAAAATGCATTCACTCATAAATTGAGTAAAACCAACCCTAAACTAATAAAACTATGATAGAGTAAAATATTAATCTCTTGTTATTTATTTCTTGATAATTGTCCAACGGACAAGAATAAAGTTCAGGCTTAATAACGCTTTAGATATACTTTGTTAAACACTTATAAAAGTTCGATACATAACAACTGGCGTTTCTCCCAAAGGAAACGTGACCTTAATACACCCAATATTAGGTTTCTAACAACTAAGTACAGTAATGGATCAACTTACAGTCAACAACGGCTAAAATATCCTCTTCTTCACTAAGGTAACGTGGATCAATAACAGGTGGGTCATACGGGTTGGAAGATCGCAACTTGATAAATCCACGACTCTTGGGACGTAACAGCACAGGAAACAGAGAAAACGTATTTCTGTTGTTAACTAAGTCTGTAATTTCACGAGGTGAAAAGTATAATATATATATATATCTATTTCTTATTTGACTTAATATCTTTAAACTAGGCTGGTTCTAATCTAAAGCATGGTCTAGCTAGTCTCCTGAAAACAAGGTAGTTCTTATCTAAAGTAGAGTTGAATAATATTCTTAAACCAAGTTAATTCTCATCTAATGCGCGGCCTGAATAATATCCTTAAATCTGGCTGTTGCGTTTCTAAAGCCGAGGCTGTATAATCTCCTTAAGCTACGTTAGTTCTCATCTAAAGCATGTTCTGAATGACATCCCTAATACAAGCTCAAGTCTGTTCTTATCTAAATCGTGGTCTGAGTCTTACTCTCAAACCAAGCTGGTTTTTTATCTGAAGTAAGTGATGAATAATATCATTAAACCAAGCTGGTTTTTTATGTGAAGCAAGTGCTAAATAATATCATTAAACCAAGCTGATTTTATCTGAATCAAGTACTGAATAATATCATTAAATCAAGCTGATTTTTATGTGAAGCAAGTGCTAAATAATATCATTAAACCAAGCTGATTTTTATCTGAAGCAAGTACTGAATAATATCATTAAATCAAGCTGATTTTTATGTGAAGCAAGTGCTAAATAATATCATTAAACCAAGCTGATTTTTATCTGAAGCAAGTGCTGAATAACATCATTAAATCAAGCTAATTTTTCTCTAATACATGTGTTGAATAATATCACTAAATCAATATGTTTTTTATCTATAACATGGTCTATATGTTCTTCTCAGTCTACACTAGTTATCATATCAGGCTAACACTGTATTATCTCACCTTTCATGATTTATTTAAACAATGATTCACATGATCTTTTTTAAGTCTAGCAGTATTTAATAATTCACATAATCCAATATAACATGGTTGATCCTTTTGAAACATGAGAAACGATCTTTTGCAATATGGGCTGATTCTTTCTCAAGATATGAGTTTCACACACACTTGCAACGTGATTAGTTATTTTAGAATATGAATTCAAAGACATCTTGCAGTACTGTGGTTCGTTTTTCAAACTTGAGATCAACAAGATCTTGTAACATGGTTGGTTGTCCTTGAACGTAAACTGCACGAACTCTTGCAATTTTATTTGAGCTTTTACCAAACACGAGCTGCAAGTGCTCTAAAATGGCTCGTTCTTTTCGAAACTACGAGTTGCGTGAACCCTTGCAATAAGTCTGCTTTTTAACACGTATTGCAAGGTCTTTCACTATATCGTGTAACATGGTTCGTTTACAAATCATGAAGTTTGAAAAACGCTTGCAATATGTCTATTCTTTTTCATAACCTTAAATGATGGAGCTCCTGTAACATGTCAGGTTCTTACTTGTTGATTCATTATGAAAAAGCTTACGTAGTTCTATTACATGCTATTTTGTTTCAGCTATGAAGAAATGTTTGGCTCTGGCTGAAACACCAGCATTCCAAAAGTTTGGAACACGACTAATCTCGGACGTCTTTCCTGGCTGTGAGGATTACAAGCTGTTGAGTGATGAGTATCTAGCTTGCTTAGCCAGAACGCTGACATTTACCATCTACCACCCTGTGGGAACGTGTAAGATGGGTGATTATAGAGATCCGAGCACAGTCGTGGACCCCGAACTCAGGTGATAATTATTCTGCTTGTTAAAGTTAAAATGTTTTAATATAACAACGTTTATGGCGAAATATTGAACGTAAAAACACTATAAAACAAATTAGAACTTAAAATGCTGTGCGATATTTTCAAAGAGGTTAGTATAAGTATATTAATGTTTCAAAATTTACGTATTGTTTGTTTTTCTGTCAAATATGATATTCACTATTTCTTCATATTTTGTGTCTCGCTGCAAGAAATGTTTTCAATTTTTCTTTGAATTATTGATTTTTTTTCTGTAACATTTTATTAATCTCTTTTCAAATCATTGACATTGTTATTTTATTGCAATGGATATTCTCCAATCTTACTTCGAATGTTTGACTTTATTAATGCCATCATTTTAGCAGTTGCACAACGTTATGACTGTGTCACAACATCTAAAGAGAATGACTGGTTACGTACTTAATGTTTTCAGGATAAGCAACAATTGTTTCGTCTTATAAGGTAGTATAATTGATAGAAAATACCTAATACTGGTTCATGTTGCTAAATGTAGGTGGTTATTCACACCTATCGTTCATAAGTAAAATACATCATGCCATAAGGTGAGGCTATTATGGCGCATTAAACAAAATCATTATTGTGAAAGACATATCCTTTAGGGACTCTTAGAAATACATCGTTTAATATATGTTATACAAGAAGAAGTAAAACATCAGTTACCGTATATTTCCAATGGCTTGACAGTAAATTGGAAGGCTTATAACGCTAGAAATCGGGTTTAGATACCCGTGGTGGGCACAGTACAGATATCCCATTGTGTAGCTTTGTGCTTAACAACAAAATAAAGACATACTGTATATATTAGAGAACAAAACGTTATCATATACAAGAAAAATTTAATATTTTATGCATAATAAAGAGAAAACAATATGTTGAAATAATAATTCAAGAGAAAATCAAATGTTTCATTATAGAATATGCAGAGAAAAATAAGGGTTTTTACAGGGCAGCCAGGAGTTGCCACGGGCTCCGGGGAAGGATTGTTATATGCGCCCCCTCCCACGGACACAGATATGCTTGTCGAAACTGGGTGTGATTCCTTAATAGAATAACTTATTCAATCTTGAATTAAAAGCATGCACTATTACATACCATTTTGATAGATTTACCATGGCATATGTATATCCTACTAACCTATTGTGTTTTTATAGATTTTACAGTTGGATATCATATTTTGAGAACTTGTAAAAAACAGCATTGGTGTGTATTTGCTAGTCGCTAGTTAAATACAACAATCTATGAGTAATTATGAAGCTTTAGGCTTATTTTATAACACAAGGTATGTTTAATCAGTATTTTATTGTGTATGTTTTCTTTATTCGTTGTATACATAACAGCCCCTTAGTGGTACAAAGGTATGTCTGCGGACTTACAACGCTAGAAACCAGATCTGTCAGTCGGTCTTGAGCAAAGGTGGAGCGCAGATACTTTTTTTTTATCAGTTTCAGCTTGCTAAAAGATCCCTCCCTTTTTGGAATTGTGCTGAAAACGCGAATGGCTGCAGAAAAATTTGGGAAAAGTGGATTAGTTTGAATTTGTGCAGTTTGATTAGAAGATCTGAAGGATTTAATGCTGTATCGCCAAAGCTAGCTTTATCAATGGCCTTTAGATGTTTAATATCCTCCACTAAGTCTTCTGACACATCAGATCTATACTTGGCAACAAACTTCCTAGTTTTTGATATATCTAGATATTGCCATGAAAAAGAAAAATTCTGATTAATATCCATGGCTGCTTTATATCTTGTAACGAGCTCAGCTATAACAGAATTTATGATTCTATAAAATATGTTTAATCTTCTCTATAGGTTCATTTCCTTCACAATTAGGCAAGGGGTCATCTTTATTTTCATCATGAAAATACTTGGGAACTGTTTTCCGTTCTGCAGGCAGCTGTGGCAGAAGATTCATATTATTTGCAACCAACTTAGCTTCATTAAGAATTGAGCTCCAATGTTCATGCAGTGTTTTTAAATCATTCAACAGACTTTCAATGCTGCTCACTTCAATATCAATTGTAGCTTTGCAGGCCTGCGATACTTGATTGCACTGGTCGATGATCACAAGTATCTTTAGCCAGATTTCAGTCATCAAGAAGCAAGAAAATGACTGCCCACAGTCTGTTATACTCTTGACTTCAATTTTTGTTTGAGATGTAAGATTTAGTTAAAGAATTTCTGATTGTGCATCCAGAATCCCAGTAAGATGAGCTGCAACAGGCCTGAAACTATCCACTCTATCTGTCCATCATGTTCTCGAAAGTCCACGAAGAGAACAGTCTATATTCTTGAGAAGAATGCTTCATCGCTGTGGGCTACAACTAAATAGATTCTAAAGCTTTTGAATTATTCCAAAAAATGTCTGAGCCTCTGTGCAACTTTCTGTTGCTTGTGTTTCACAAAGATTGAAACTTTGACAAGCACATATTGAGAATTTCGCCAGGGGATTAACTTCTAGTAATAGAGCTTGAGCACCGTTATATATGTTGGATACATTGTCATATCCTTGAGCTCTACAATCCGTTATTGGTATTTCATGATCAGTTAAGTTCAATCTGCAGTCATTTTAGAAAGAAAAGTATTATATTAGAAACATTAGCCCCGGTCTTCTTATTGCAATCAATAAATCTTAAAAACCTTTCGTGAATGATAAAGGAAGAACATTCTGATGGTATGGATACATACCTCAGGATAAACTTAAAACAGGATGAGATGAATCAGGCGTTGCATCTACTATGACAACAAAGTGTTTTGCTGCAAGTCTCTCCTCTAAAACAATGTGACGAACATGCAGAGCACAAGTTGCTATGACTTCATTGTGGGACTCACCTGACAAGTAGTGAACTTGAAGACGATAACGTGCTTGCTGAGATTCTGAAACTCCCTCTACATGCTCTCTTAGAACTATATCATAATAACTGAGCAGCTCAATTATTCCTAAAAAATTACTATCATCAGGCAAGACACACCAGTCTTTTTGTGATGATCCACGAAATCCCCCCCCCCCAAGAAAGGGGCAACATCTATAATCCTTTTTTAGGATATCCTTCCATTCGGTTGCTCTTTAAAAATATTCTTCTCAAGCTGCAAATCAACACAGATAGCATTTCTTATGGTGAACACTTCTCTCGTGTTCTGGTAGCCTATCATAAAGTTTATGTTGTTAGCGGCCAGCTTTTTACAGTTGTAATTGTAGAGCGTGATGCAACTGCAGTCTTGGGAAGGCGACATGGAAAACAGTACACAGCTTGTCTAATATGAATTCAAATTAGCCAGTCACGTTTACTGTATTCACCATTTTGCAGCAAAGACTTTAGACTTGGAAAATGAAGTATTTAGGGTGTTATAGAGGCCCAGCTCTAACAGTTAGCTCAAGGTTTTCAGCCGATACACTCCCATAAGTTAAGGTACCAACATCAAAACCACTGAGCTGTTGTGGGTTTCCAGGAACATTTTTTAAAGTGTTTCTCCTGTAGTGATTACATTTGGCTATTGATAGTCGACTCGCTTTTTTGCAGGTATTGAAAGTGAAACCCGTCGCTGTTCACACAATCCTGGAGACTGACTGCCTTACTTCTGCACACTTTCTGACACAAGTCTGTCCATCAAGTTCTGTAAATGCGTTTGTGATGTACCCTTTAATTTCGTCAATCTTCCGCAATTTCATACTGTAAACTTGAGTACTCTCCAGAAGAAAAAGTCCATAGGGGTACAATCTGGTGACCGTAGAGGCATCTCTGCAGCCTATCCATCAAGACGATCCCAACTCAATAGATTCTGCAACAAAAAACAATTCAATAAATATTCAACATGTGCAACTGTATACCTACTTTTGGGCCATCCTGTATATAAATATATATATATATATATATATAAAGCAAGTAAGCTTTCTGATATCTACCTGAATAAAGTGAATGAAGTCACACTTCAGTAACTTGTTGATCTTGACATTTTTTACAAGATTTTAATATATGATTAGTACTTAATGTCAATTTGAATTTAATATTCAGAATTAATTTGATTAAAATATTACATACTCTCAAATTATTCAGTGACTAGGAGCCACTTTATGTTTGACTCTACCATACAACCTAAATCAGGACGTTTTAAGGACAATTGTAATATTTTTCGTTTCGAAACATCATCTTTTTGTATAGGTTTTATAACATGAACTTTAATTCCAAATGTTTCATAAGAGATATTTGGGGCAAGTTTTTAACCAGAACATGACATGTGATAAAAATTATAAATATGAAAAAAAAACGAAGTTAACAAAAATTATGTATAATAATATTACACTGAAGTATTTCCCCAAAACATAATTATAAAACAAAAAGGCAGGCTGAAAAAATTATACTACATTAACTGTAGTACTATAGAAATCTAATTTGTTATATCCTTAAAAATAAGTTGGTATGCTTTTCTAGAATTCATACTTGTTGTAAAATAAATTAGTTAATTCAAATTTTTTATATTTATCATAATTTTATGTTTTACACGCTCATATTGATTTTTTTAATTTCAGGGTGAAAGGAGTGACAGGATTGCGTGTTATTGACGGTTCCATAATGCCTGCGATTGTGTCTGGGAACACCAACGCTCCAATCATAATGATTGCAGAAAAAGCAGCAGATATGATTCGAGGAATTAGAACAGTACCGATATTTCGAAAATAAAATAATTAAATATAAATGAGGTGATAACGATACCTTATTAAAACAATCGAGACATATGTGGTATATTTTATATATATCAGTTTATGATTAAAAGTACACGACGACCACAGATGAATATAATTTACTGTATTTACAGAAGCTAGGAGATTCACTAACGAGTATATTACATTTTATATAAATGTTAAATATTGCATATTAAAAGTCAACCAATTGTTTATTTCTGTGATAAACCGACTTCGTTAATTTTATTTATTCTCGAAGTACTTGGCAAAATAATAAGCAGGTCTTAAAAATTTGACTTATTATTCATAACAAGTGTTCTGTAAATAAATTGTATATATGCAAACCACTTGCATATGATGATGATGAAACGAGAATTTATTTAATTTTATATTTGAGTCTTACAGGAAATACTATTTTTAAACTCTTCTGTTCATAGGTCACATTTCAATAACCAAACGTACGTTCATAACCATTTATCAGGTGAATAAGATTCATATGCTCTTAATGTCAGTGACTGCATTCAGTTGATGACGAAATAAAGTGCAATTACTGATATATTATAGTGTTACGTCTCCGTTCGTTAGTTAATTTTCCGTAAATTCTTTCCGACTAAACTATAGCGACACAAGTTCTTTCTTAAATAAAACTGGTTTATTCTTTCCCAATATAACTTTACGATACACTTAATTTCAACAGTCGCTCTATAACAAACGCTATAACTCACGTCTCACGTGGCCAACAATATTCTGTCGCATACATTCAATTACTCATTACCACCACATCGCTTCGTGGCCGGTCTTATATATACAAGACTACACTATATCTAGAAGGATCACGAGATTTAAGGAAAAGACGTGAATGTTCGAGACTGACGTAGCGTGATACTAGTCACGTGACCTCGATGTCGTAACAATAGTAAACCTTGACATTTCTAATGCTCCATCGCCTCGGGTGAGTGGTTTGGGTTGAAAATCAGCTACGTTTAAAATTTGTCAAAATGAATTACAACTTTTTCTAAAACTTTGTTAAGACTTTAGTTACTTCAAATATTTCATGATATTATAATTTTGGTTAGAGTTGAACATGTAGATTAATAACTATGTCTTCAATAACATAGTGACTAAATTTCACTAATACAAATATAAATAACTGTTGTACATAATTTCATCTTTTCTACATTAGTAGAAAGGAAGTTCAAACTACATATACCACACTTTCTACAGTAATAATCATCTTTCATTAAGCAGCTAACAGCTATGCGTTCATTTCATATAATTCTTTAACAACAATGTTCATCTCAGTTATACAATAATGTAATTATTCAACAATAAAGGTTATCTCAGTTCTATAGAAATAGACATATCAACTACTGAGTTATCTACATCAACGTTTTAAAGATAATAATAACCTCGAAACCTAATAGTTGAGAAATATGTAGATTCTGTTTTAAAACTACTTCAGGTTACTGTTGTGTTTAAAACAGATAGATATTTTGTTCAAATTACTAACGATTTGAGGATAACCCTGTTGTAGATTGTGATGTATTCTGTGCATAAAGTTGAGAGTTTATGCTCACTTCCAGTTACTGTATTAATGTATTCCTTTGTAATACTTGTTTCTGTTTTACTTGTCTCGCTAACTTTGGTTATTCTGTTCTTTTGCCTGTTTTTAGCGTTAGTGGGTGATCGGAATATTCGGAGCTAGAATCTGTTGAGAAAATGTACTCTTAATTAGCAGAATACATTCCTTTCTCAAAAGTTACACTACGAATAATTTGAAATCTAGACAATCACTGTAATAGTAGGAATACATTTTATCTCTTAATTTCTAAGTCTTTTGTGGTCTCAGTAAACACTATTTACCTAAATTATTTAGCGTGGTTTATTGATTCATTTTGAATTCCTACTACTGTAGAATTGATAAGCTGTGGATGACTAAAGCTTTGTCTCTGATGTAGCATATCACCATTGAATAATCTTTCCTTTGTACGTTGCGACAATTCTGTAAGTGTAAACATACCTTTAGAGGTAAATAGAGTAATTAACTGATTTTTCTTAACCATGTTAATATTTTGTAAAGATATTTTGCCTATATGGTTTTGTTTTTAGCTGTATGAAAGAAATCTTAATAAATATAAATTTATATATATACATATATATTGTTACGTCTCCCGTTTGTTAATTGATTTCCCGTAAATTCGTTCCGACGAAACTTTAGCGACACAAGTCCTTACTTAATAAAACTGGTTTATTCTTTCCGAATATAACTTTACGATACACTTAATTTCAACAATCGCGCTAAAACAAACGTTATAACAACGAACGTGCTCAAATTCAATAATACTCTCTGACTGCAAGATCAATTACTCACTGTCTACACACACATTGTCACGTCACGCCGTGACCATCTTATATATATCAGACCCCCCCCCCCCCAATCTAGTAAATGCTAGAGCACTCCCGAAGGAACGGGATAGTTCTAGAAACGTGGCGTGACACTAGTCACGTGACCTCGCTGACGCAACATTATCAATCGATTACTGAGTTAGTGAGTCATTCAGTCAGGCAGTGGGTTGGTCAGTTCAGTATATTGTACATTTTTATTCAGTTTGCGTCATAGATACGTGAGGAAATTTAACATTGCTAATTTCTATTTGTGACTTAGGCCTATTAATGAACATAACCTTCAGAAGTTATACGTTACAGTGTTATAAATAACTCATTACAAATAAGTGGACTGGATTGTTTTGTGTCGTTTTGACCATATAATCAAAGAAAACGTGCTTAATGATAGGATCCGCTATAACAATAGAAATGAAAGTGCATTTCAGTGTTTATTCTTGATATAGAATATTAATTTTCTCTCGTTTTGGTTATTCACAGGTTTGCCTAAGACACTAAAGTCGTCACATGTGTTTTTCCTTTAGAAGAGAACACCACAACATGAACCATGCTATGCACAGAAGCAGTGGTCTGTTCCGGTGACGAATTATGATATTGCCTGGGAGGTATGATCCACTCATGGTTGAAATGAAAGTGGCCCTCAGTCACGTGGATGGTGCTTTGCCTGGGAAGAAAGAACTATGTATATATATATATATCTATTGTTTTTCTCTGTTGTAGAGATTATATTAGGATTTTTTGAGGTTCTGTAGACAATTCCCTTGACATATATATATTGTAATATTTAGCAGTTCAGACTGTACATAAATTTTTCTTATAGAAACTTTCATGTAAAATATACTTTTTGTCAAACACATAGATTGTGTGTAGCACAGCTTTTAACTTTAGTCTGATATAGCTAGAAGTACAATAGAATCACAAAGAATAAAGGCATTCAGAGCAAAAGTAGTTAAACGACTTTCTTGACTACGTCCTACACACCAGAATAACAGACAACTTCGAATGATGCTGTACTAAAACAAGATGGTAGAAAATGCATGGTATAACTGTATACCACACTTTTCATCTTCCTCAGGCTTGTCCTTAAGCTGGTGACATTCGTTTTATCTTTAAAACCAATAAATCTATACACGTATGTCTGCCAAACAGTATGGTTTTTTCTTTCACCTATAATCACTTACACAAAATGCAGACGACAGAACTCTTTAACAAAGATTACAATGTATATTTAACATTGCAGATGAAATCTTTAACAACGATAATTAATTCAAATAGAAATACAATTTGACAATTGTTACAAGAGAAAAATAATCCTTAACAATGATTCAGTTTACTCGTGTCAGTTACCCGAGACAGAACGAAAAAAACAAAACACTTTTAACACCGCGTCATATGTAATATCGTAGCTCGAAAATAACCATGATTTGTTCGTGGTTGTTACGAGCTCCATAGAGTTGTGTCAAGTTTCTAACTTAACGAACAAATCTCAGAAATTTCAAACGTTACAGGATTTTTAACAAAGATCTCAAGTTCTACTTTTGTGTCACATTAAGTAGCAAGGCAGTGATAAGATAGGATTCTTTCTTGATATTGTCAGCCTCCAAGGAAGAGTTATTAGTCACTAGGAGACATTAACTTGGCCGTAATAAAACGCTAGGCCTAGTCAGCAATTTGGCAACGACGGCAGAGGGACCGAGTGAAACTAAGTTTCTCGTCGTTTACCGATCTTTATTGCATGGTTCAGCCAAGTATTAAATGTATCCAAACCAGTATCATGTCTGGACTTTCGGATTATTTGAATGAGCCGACTTTTTCAATATTTCTCACTGCTGTATGTAGTTTCACTAAAGAGAACTTGAATAGCTAACAGTTCCACCGAGAATGAGGTTCAGTCAGCTAAGCCTATATATGTACCTTTACTTCTGTGCTATCACAGTGTATTATTTAAACAAAAGTCCAGAGACGGCTTTTTCGAGTGGACTATTATATTTTTTTAACTTTATAACAACATTTTGACCATTCGTGTGGTCATCATCAGATAAACTATCGTCGATTGTATGAAATATTATGATAGCGTTTTGTTTTGATTTTTGTAGTTCACGAATAATTAGCGCTTCTTTTATTTTTTCTGTCAATGTTGTTCTCATTATATAACATTTTAGAGTTGCTAATATTGATTCGTTGTGCTGTGTTCGTAAATGTGTGATGGGTGATTGTTATTTTCTTTTATCCTAATATTTACCGGGTTTCAATACCCGTGGTGGGCAGAGCACAGACAGTCCTTTGTGCTTAACTTCAAAAGAAAACAGATAAAACCTAATGTTTATACTGCTTCACGTTTCGCCTGTGTAAGTGCTATCGCATCGATCGCATTGCTACTTGTAGATACTTCCGTCATTGACGTTGTCAGAATAGATGATCTTTGATTTTAGTACTCAGTTTTGAATAAAAATTACCCTACTGTTTAGATTGTAATTTCTT